AGGATCTCTGAGTGCTCTAGAAGGGAAAACAGTGCTCTCTCTCACTGCAGAGCACAGCTTCCTCCTTCTCAGAAGCACCACCCTGTTCCAGGACATCAAAGTAGACCTCTCCCCATCATTGTGCTTCCTCCTGAGTGCAGAGGGGACATGGGTCCCCGGTGGCAGGGTTGGGGCAGGCTTACTTACAACATCTGCTGTCAGGAGGCTGTCTTTCGTCAGGAGAACACTCTTGTCCACAGCCTGGACAGAGCACAGGGAGCCCGGAGTGGCCTGCAGGTGCAAACCAACTTTTGAGCCTGGGAGTTCCTCCTCTTGGGAGAATGCCAGTGACACCTGAAGAGGAAACAGGATGTGGGTTTATCAAAGGAGAAAGGTGCACAAGCCAATTAGGGATATGGAGCACCGGTGACAGGAGCAGAGGGAAGGATGCTGAGACAGAGAGAGTGGGTGGAGCTGTTGGAAACACAAAGAGAAGGATGAATGGACTTTAGAGCTGAGAGCACAGGCCATCCAATCCAAGCCACAATTCTCACCCCCTCCCACCCCTGTAGGGTAATACTCACCTTATTTCTGAAGCACTTCTGAACTGTGAAAGTTTCCATGTCTGCTGTCACCTCTCCATCTTCAAATATGGCATAAACAAGAAGGTGGGAGGAGGGTGCCAAGTCAATGCTGATGGGCAGGGTCAAGGAGAAGGATCCCTTCAGTGCTGCACAAGGGAGGTAAAAGACTTAATTAAATCTGCACATCAGGGAATTGACTTCTGGAACCCACTGCCACTGGATGCCCTTGAAGCAGATGGCATGGCAGGAATCACAATGGGGCACAGGGACATTGAATTGAATGTGGCCTCCTGGGCCATCAGATCTAGTCCCGTGTTTGCAGGCTGCTGTTAGCACAGATCTATTCCCCCAGGCAGTGCCCCTTCCACCGCCTCACACAATTATGAGGCACAATACCCAAAACACCAAGAACACCCTATGGCATGCCACAGATACAAGCAGGGAGATGAGGACACCTCCAATGCTCTGCTTCTGCAGGAACAGGGAAGCATGTGGTTAATATATTCTAGGAAAATCTAAGATAGAGGATTAGGCCCTATACTCAATGGAAGACAAAAATGCCCAAGATCTGTGGCCAAGTTGTCTGAGGGGAAAAATTACTTCCTGGCACCAAATTTGGCCATACGTATAGCCTTGAGCAGAGGAGCAAGACACTCTAGGAACCTCTGAGTTTTCTAAGAAGTAGCAGACACAGTGTAACCCTGTTAAAACCCTAAGCCTCAGCAGTGATCAACATCTCAGTGCTTCAAAGAAAGGCAGAAAGCCTATCAAAGGCCCATTGCATTCATGAGCAAAAAAAGTTGCTTCCTGGCCCCTGCTAGTGAGAATAGTTCCTGCTGTGGCCAAGAATATCTACAGTGATAAATGCTTCCCTAGCTATCAAACACCTCATGGGGCAAGAAAATATTCCACCCTTGTAGCATGGCATTGTACAAGTAGGTGAGTCACGTGGGTTTTCTGCCTCCTTATGAAGTGTCTGCCACTGGCCACAGTGGTGAGGCAGGACACCAATCTGGAGACAACAAAATAGGAGATGGGACATTGAACAAGGTGAAGACCTGGCAAAGGAGAAGGCTACATCCCAGAAAGAGCTGGCCCAATAGCTTGACTTGGAACAGGGACTCCTGTGAAGTTTGTGTGTGATCCACCTTGTGTTTTCCTACTTACTTTCATCCTGGCCAACTGGCACCTGCTTCTGTCCATTGAAGACAATCCTACCTTTTGATACGACCTGGAGCAGAAAGAAAACAGCCAGTCAGAGGCCAGGGTGCTACAGTTGTTTGGATGTGAAGCCAGATGAGAAAAAACATAGAACTAGCAATGCCTAACAGAGGCAAGGGTCACGTGCTGCCCTGGTAGCGCAGGAGCATAGAAGGAGATCTGGAGCAGGGACATGGTTACTGAGCTGGGATAGGCTTGGGCACATTGGCTAGTGACCAAGAACAACTGGTTGCCCTGAAGTGAGAGGTCCTTTTCAGTCTACAGGCCAGTGTTGCTCCAAATACTGTGGAGTTCACCTCTGAGAAACTGGTCCCCTGGGATGGCCAGGGCAAGGCCGTCTGCATTCTCAAAATTAGTCTTGCCCTCCAGAGCTGCCCTTGGGGAAACAGCAAGCTGGTGACCATGGAAAAGAAATGGTCATCCAAGCCTGGCTTGAGTTATTCCTAACCCATTGAGCTAGGATGGCTATCAAATGCTAGGGGGGATAGGAGTATGGTAAAAGACACTTCAGAGCCACGCTAACATGCTAATTGGGAGGCACCAACAAAAGACAGGTACAAAATGGCACCTGCAAACTGGTGTATTGCCTGACCTCCCTCCACTGTAGGCCTCTAGGATCCACAGCAAAATGTACCAGTAGCAAAACTGAGGGGGAGAAAACAGGGCAGTAGCTCTGGTCACCACCTTTGAGGTACATGTGTTGAGGCAGGGAGGGGGGCAGGGAGGGGGGCAAAAATAGCTACTGCCACAGCTGGCAGCTGGTCACATCAACACTGCTGGCAGCATTGCAGCCACCACTGCCACAGGCACTGCCACTACCCAGGGCATGGAGTTGCCTGGTGATGCCTCGGGTATACCCGCTAAATAGCAGGGTATCACATGTGATATTCACATATCACATGTGATATGTGAATATCACATGCCCTGACTGTCCTGGGCACTCACAAAGAAATAGAAATCCACGTGATTGGCCCCAGGGCCCAGCTTGCTCTGGTCAAGGATGTATTCCACCTGCAACTCAGGCTCCTGGCCACAGGGCAGCTCCTCTTTCACATAATGGATCTCCAGAAAACTGCTGCTCTCGGAGTAGAAGGGTCTCAGCCAGTTGAAAGCATCGTGGAACCCCATAGCAGCCTTGGAGCTGTCCTCCTGGGTGAAGTTCCTGATGGCATACCTGCCCTTAAGCACACAGATGTGCAGCAAGGGGGTCAACGCCAGGTAGCACACAACCATATGAATGCAGTCATCAGGGACCCTAATAAAGCAGCCCCAGCCTGACTTAAAGCCCTAGGTGACCATACCTGCCTTCAGTCTCTGGTTGCCAAGCTCTGCTCCAGCTAATTAACTGGCCAGTTTCTTCATTTGCTGCTGGAAGCACCACCCACCCATTTAGCCCCAGCTGTGGAAGCAGATTTCAGGCCAGCTGACAGTTTTGATCGCTGTGTGCTGTGGTAAGCCTCCTGGTCCCTGAGCTCTCTGGCTTTTCTGGTTCCTGACAGCGCTTGGTTCTATTCTTGGACTTTGATCTGTGGATTGTCTCTTGGACCCAGTAACTCAAAATCTGATTCCTGGACCGTGAGCCTGGACTGTGTTGTGGACTCTGCCTCTGGCTTTCCCTCTGGAACTGGCATTTTGGCTCTTCTGCCCCTGCCTTCCTTCAGTGGCTTAACCATTAGGCCACCCACCTACATCCTGGTCCCTAACAGTGGTGCATGATAGACACATTGTCCCTGTAGCATGTGGGCAGGCCCCTTGCAATGCCCATCTTCAGAACTTGCAGCTGAATCTACCCTGGGTACAGAACCACAAGCTTCCTCTTTGCTTTCAATTGTGTCTTTAATGCTCATACTTGCCAAAAAACCTTTAAATACATGAACTAAATGCAATCAGTAAAGTGAAGTCCACCACCCTGATGATCTTCCGAGGTCCCTTCCAGCCCTAATGTCTATGAAATCTATAAGCAATAGGCCTCCAGGAAATGGAGACAGCCCCTGCTTTTCAACTGTGTGTTGAGGCTAGAACAGAAAAACAATTGGCAATTTTTGTTAACCCTCTCACTGCTGACATTTTTAGCAGAAATGCTCTTTTAATGTCCTTTTCCCATAACCCCAATGACCTCTATGCCCTGTCCACCTATCTCCCTCTCCTCCTCTCTGCCTTCTCAGATGCCCAACCCCCTAATTTCCTCTCTCCCCTGTCCAAAATCCAAACCTCTGAGAAGCAGTTAGATGATATTGGTGCCAAAATTTGCAACCCATTTAAATTGGGCATTTCAGAGCAGTGTAACATGAGCTGAAACAAATACTTTAGTGCAGAATACAGGTGACTGCTCGAGCTGTATGTTTTACCCTTATATTTCACACCCAGAAAAACTTCTGTTTTAAAAATATATATCTCTGCAAATGCCATGATAGTGACAGACTTCTGCCCCAACACATTGTAGGAACTAGACCTAGCTATGGATGATGGCAGCCTGCTGCAGAGCACATGGTACTCCCTGTGGCGGGGATGGGCTTCACCTCTCCCCCAAAGATAAGCGTGTATTCTCTTCCAGGCTGGCTGATCTCCTCCGGTGAGCTTTAAACTAGGCATGTAGGGGGAGGGGGAGGATGAGGACAAAGGGAGCAACAGAACACCAAACCAAGAGACACCCACAAGGACAGCCCAGCCAAGTCAGGCGACGAGCACAAGAAATACCCAGGTAAGAGACAGGGGCCCGGACAGTCCAGAGATTGGTGGGGAGGCGCACACACCCTCAGGAAGCCTTAAATGCCTCTACACTAATGCTCGCAGTATGGGGAACAAGCAGGAGGAACTTGCCCTCCTGCTAGCTAACACAAACCCAAACATGGTGGGGCTCACTGAAATTTGTTGGGATCCAACGCACAACTGGGTGGTAAACATCAAGGGCTATAGGCTGTACAGGAGGGATAGAACAGGGAGAAAAGTGGCGGTGTGGCGCTCTACATCAAAGAGCAATACACATCCTCAACAAACAGCACTGGGTCAGAGGAAGGACAGACTGAAGTGCTCTGGGTCAGAATGCAAGGGAGTTGGGGGGAAAGGGACCTAACAGTGGGGGTCTGCTACAGGCCCCCCAACCAGGGAGAAGAGCTGGACCAGGAATTCTCAGGTCAGCTTGTGGAGACAGTCAAGTCAAGGGACGTGGTCATCATGGATGATCTAAACTATCCGGACATCTGCTGGGAGGAGCAGTCAGCCGGGTCTGACCACTCACATAGGTTCCTAGCCGAGTTACAGGACCTCCACCTAACCCAGGAGGTGCACAGTCCCACCAGGGGAAATGCCTTGTTGGACCGGGTCCTGGCCACAGGCGATGACCTGGTGAGGAGACTGCAGGTGCTCGACCACCTGCGCAACAGCGATCATTGCCTACTGGAATTTGCCATCCACCTCAGGGTGTCAAAGGCGTGCAGCAAGGCAGCAGCCCTGGACTTCAGGAGGGCTGATTTCAATGAGGTAAGGAGACTAGTCGGGGAGGCACTGAGGTCCCGGAGGGGAGGGGAGTTGGGAGTCTAAGAGGAGTGGTCATTCCTTAAGGAGACGATCCTCCAAGCCCAAAGGGTGACAATCCCCATGAGGATAAAAGGGGGCAATAGCACTTAAAAGCCTCCATGGCTCACCAAAAGCATCCAGGAACGTCTCAAAGCCAAAAAGGAGGTGTACACCCAATGGAAGGGAGGGGCCATCACCAGGGAGGATTATACCTCCTTGGCTCAAGATTGTAGGGTGGCTGCTAGGAAGGCTAAGGCAGAGATGGAACTGGGACTAGTGACCCAGATCAAAGATAACAAGAAGTCCTTTTTTAAATACATAGGGGTAAAAAGAAGGTACCAAATAATGTGGGGCCTCTGCAGGACATGCTTGGTAATCTGGTGGTAGCACCCGATAACAAAGCTATCCTCTTTAACAGATTCTTTGCTTCCATTTTTCTGAGCGGGGACCAGGGTATCCCCCACACTGGGAATCCAGACGGACCCAGGGGAGGTGCAGCCAGGCCCAGGATCAGTGAGGACCTCATCAGGGAACTTCTGGTGGGACTAGACATGTTCAAATCAGCAGGTCCTAACAATCTCGACCCCAGAGTGCTTAGGGAATTGGCAGAGGTCATTGCGGGACCCCTGGCACAGCTTTATGAGCACTCGTTGTGCTCTGGCGAGGTGCCTGATGACTGGAAAAGGGCCAATGTGGTCCCCATTTTCAAAAAAGGGAGGAAAGAGGATCCAGGAAACTATAGGCCTGTTAGTCTTACCTCGGTCCTGGGGAAGCACTTTGAAAAAATTATCCAGGTGCACATCTGCAAGGGACCAGCAGGGGAGATTATGCTTAGGGGCAACCAACATGGGTTCATTAGAGGCAGGTCCTGTCAGACCAACCTGGTGGCCTTCTATGACCAGGTCACAAAAGCAGGTGTCGCGGTGGACATAGTCTTCCTGGAATTTAGGAAGGTTTTCAACACTGTCTCTTACCCGATCCTCATTAAAAAATTAGGTGACTGTGGTGTCAACACCTACACAGTCAGATGGGTTGCAAATTAGCTGGAGGGCCACACCCAGAGAGTGGTGGTAGATGGGTCATTTTCGACTTGGAGGGATGTGGGCAGTGGGGTTCCCCAGAGCTCGGTCCTTGGGCCCGCACTGTTCAATATCTTCATCGGCGATTTGGACGAGGAGGTGAAAAGCACCTTGTTCAAGTTCACAGATGACAATAAGATGTGTGGAGAAGTGAGCACACTAAAAGAGAGGGACAGGCTACAACTAGATTTTGACAGGTTACAGAGGTGGGCGGATGAGAATAGGATGGGTTTCAACATGGGCAAGTGCAAGGTGTTGCACCTGGGGAAGAAGAACCAGCAGCATACCTACAGTCTGGGGAACTCCCTTCTCATCAGCACAGAGGCAGAAAAGGATCTTGGAGTCATTATTGATTCCAAGATGAATATGGGCCGCCAATGTGGGGACGCAGTCAGAAAGGCTAATCGCACCTTGTCATGCATCCACAGATGCATCACGAGCAGGTCCAAGGAGGTGAACCTCCCCCTCTATGCAACATTGGTCAGGCCACAGTTGGAGTACTGCATCCAGTTCTGAGCGTCGCACTTCAGGAGGGACATGGACCGCATTGAGGGTCCTGCGGAGGGCCACTCACATGATTAGGGGGCAGCAGGGCAGGCCCTACGAGGAGAGGCTAAGGGACCTGAAACTGTTCAGTCTCCACAAAAGAAGGCTGAGAGGGGAACTGGTGACTGCCTATAAACTTGCCAAGGGGAACCAGCAGGCAATGGGAGAGTCCCTGTTCCCCTGAGCACAACCAGGGGTAACAAGGAACAATGGCCATAAGTTGACTGAGAGTAGATTCAGGCTAGATATGAGGAGGCACTACTTCACTGTCAGGGTGGCTAGGAGCTGGAACCAACTTCCAAGGGAAGTGGTGCTCACCCCTACCCTGGGGGTCTTCAAAAAGAGGCTAGACAGCCACCTAGCTGGGGTCATTTGACCCCAGTATTCTTTCCTGCCCATGGCAAGGGGTCGGATTAGATGATCTGCTCCGGTCCCTTCCGACCCTACCAACTATGAAACTATGTCTAGAATGCTGCTACTGGGAACAGTCTGTGCGGTTTTGCCTGTAAGGCATTGGTTCCAGTTCAGCCACAGAGCTGGGGAGCAAGATGGGTCAGGGAATCAGGGATAAAGCTATGGAGTCCTCCTGCTCTGAAGTGCTGGTTCTAATCTCTCTTTCAGGTTGTGGCTAGTAGAGGAGCAAAGGAAACAGGTTTGGGGGCATTATACCTCTGGAATGCTGGTACCATACCAGCTAAAGGTAGGTAAGTGTTAAGGTGTATTCTAAGAAATATAGGGAAAGCATCCAGAGGCAGGGTTATAGTAAGAGAAGGCAAACAGGAAGCTGTGCAGGAGATGGAAAACAAAGAGTTTCCTCTCATGCAAGGAAGTGCTTCCACTTTTGAGACTTTTGGTGAGTGGCTGAGCTAAAGTTGCAACTCTTCCTGGTCAACACAGGCCAAGGGAGTAGCACTTAGCATGAGAAGTCAAAAGTTCAGTTCCAAAACCCCAGAGCCTCCTGTTCTCTATTCTGTCCCTTCATGTCTTTACTGATTCTGACATTGATTCCACTTCTGTCTAACCACAGGACTCACCCTCAGAGAAACCAGAGTGTCATTCCAGTGGGTTGTGTTTAGCATGAAATAGGCATCACCGTTCTCATCTGTGACATATGACCAAAGGGTCTCCACATCATTGACGTCCACAGTCAGGTAAACAGTTTTGTTCTGGAGGGGAGATTCATCGATGCTACAATGCATCTGTAGAGAAGAAAGTGAAATGATTGTCTCCTTTTCTCCTACTCACTGTGCATTGCAGTTTGGAAATCGGATGGCTTCTTATGCTGAACGCAGTTGTAAAACCTTTCTGGCCAGGCACTCTGAAGTGCTTTATAAGTGACAGACAGGATACAGAGATCCTAATGACCAGTATTGAAAAATATCAGCAGCTATTTAAGAGCAGCAATACACAATGATCTTAAAAAAAATTCATCCAGCTATGACTCAGGGAATCTTAGGGAGGAGAAAGGTAATTCCCCTGGATACTGCAATGAACACATCTGTGCCCTTGAGCAGTGGTACAGGTGCTTTAAAGGCCAAGGCTGTAATTTCACATCTTGTCTAAAACTCAGGCAGCCCAGCTCCTTCTAGACCGCACTAGGGCTCTTGGAACAGTGTAGCTCTAGAGGGGAGATCACCTTCTCAACACTCATTCTCTCCACTCCTGGCAGCATGGTGCTCTCCAGCTCCCTGTTGGGGTGCTAGCATCAGAAGCGGGGCTCCCTGCGGGGACTATCATAATGACTGTGCAGTCACGTATATCAGACCTGCTTTAACATGCAGAAGGGATTACAAAGAGAATGCCCTCTCCTGCATGCTTGCAGGAGTGAAGAGTTTAGGAGCTGAAGATGACATTGCTGTCTGTGAATGCAGAGAGAAGCACCCACAAGGCCTCCAGAAACCAGGTCTGGCCACAGGACTCATCTGCTGAAGTCTTCAGCCTCAGTAATCTCTGAGGAGGCTGGACACACACAGCCTGATTTTCAGCTGGTGTAAATCAGCATAGCTCCATTGACTTTAATAAGAGCCCACCATTTTAGGGCAGCTGAGAACTGGGCCTATAGTTTATTCCCAGCATTAATCTCTCCCTTCCTCTATGCTTGCTTCCAAGCTATAAAGAGGGGAGGCTCCCCTGGGACAGAGAGGGCAGTGGACATTACCTTGCCTGTATATGGGAATCCAGGTTTGTAGAATGGATTGAAATCAACAAATTCCATAAGTACTTCCTCCGAAGTGATGCGGGTGTTGGCATTTTCCCAGATTGTGGCTCCTGAGCAGAGATGAGGTATTTGTTAAACACTGTAGCAGACACAAAGTCAAGGTAACCATTTGGTTTAAGGAGCTGACAGTCCAAACGGCAAATGCATCTGTCTGGTACTAAGACTCAGGAGTAGGTGACAAACCCAATGCCTTCCATGGCAACACCTACCACTAGGTCCAGAGGAGCATCTCTCCTGCCTGCCAGGAATGGAGCAGGCAGTTGTGGTCATGACCACTGAGCCAGTCTATTCCAGTCTGTCACTGTGCAGTTGGAGAGCCAGGGAAAGGTGTTTGGATAGTGAATACATTCAGCTCTGTCGACTCACCCATTTGTTCCCTCCCAGTGAAGGCTTGTATTTACAGGGGCCTATAAAGGCTTGTGTTTACAGGTCTCACACACCACAAGAAAGTTCTTTAGGGGACATCTAAGCAGGGGCTGTGTGGGTTCCTCCCAGACTGGGTATGAAACAACATTCCCTAAACACAGGGCAGTGCAGAGAAATGCATGGTGACAAATGCAAAAGACACAGAGCATGGTTGGGGCAGTGCAAAAGGGATGCAATAAGAGATGCTTTCTGAGTTGCAGGCTGGGATAGAGCTATACCGGCCCTGTAGGAAAGAGGGAGAAGCTAGAATCCAGTGCAGAGAGCAAGGGGGGAGGTGTTGGAGCTGGGATCAGAACTCAATACATTGGTCAGATCAACAGGGTGAGAGATATCATTTTAGTGGCAGCATCTTGGAGAGCCAAATAGGAAGTAATGTGGGAATCAAAAACACCAGCAAGCAGAGGAAGTGGGGTAGTGCTTAGGGTAGGGATTTCTGGAAATCCCAATGGATGGTGAGCTCTAGAGCAATGCAGGGTGGGGGAAGCCCTGGAACAGCCTCATGGCCCCATTACTGGGTTTAGAGAGTGCAGTTGGTTAAGGCTTATTTTTAAGAGGCAGCCTTGAGAGCAGTGCAAGGCCAGTGTAGATATACCTAGAGTCCAATGCTGTGGACATTGCTGTAGGTATGTAATGCTGTGGACAAGGCTCAGTGGCTGACTGGGGGCAGCAAGGATGGGTTGCTATATATTCCATGGCAGGCTAAGGTGCACTGAGTGACGGAGAGATGCTGTTTGTGCAGCTGACAGTAGTGGCTGGTTGGGCACTCCAGTACTAGAGAATCTTGGCGGAAAATATGAACTCTGGCAATTGGAGACAAGTGGGAGGAAGTGGTGTAGCCCAGGGGTCTGGTAGAAAGTGCGGATACCTGAAAGACACTAAAACTAAATCTCAGTGAAATTCCTTGACTTTAAAGATCTGAAGTTTAAAAAGTTACCTGCACTGGTTGGGGGAATGAAGGGGGATGGGACCACCAAACAAGAAAGCGATCAGTCAGGGGTTTCCCAGGAGGAGAGCAGCAGAAGCCAGCAGATGCGAGGAGACAGTGTTTCCCTCCCCACTGGTACCTGTTGCTTCTTCTTGCAGCTTGAATGAAATTGCCAACAATTTCTGGTAGCCAGGGTTGGCCAGTGCTAGATCCACTGTATCCACTGTAAAAGTGGAACAACCACTCTTGTCTGTCTGTAGATGTTGAGGTGGACCGAAGAAAAGAAAAAGAGCACAGATTGAGTAGGGCAGCAATCTGCAGATGTTGCCCAATGTTCAACATCCTTCCATCCAGCTCCTAAGTCTTTAGATGCTGTACATCTTATCAAACCCATGGTGGACATCTTTCTTAGTGAAGGGAAACCTTAGAGTCATATTGACTTGACTGGCAGCATCCCCACACAGAGCAGATAAACAGTGCAGTGATTAGGTACATCGCATCCACTCATGGAGGGAGATGGGACTAAACCCAACTGCTGCAGGTGTGAGACACAGTATCCTGCCACTTGAGGTGGCAGTGCATCCTCCTTGCTGTCAGTAGTCGGCCAGATAAAGTGAAGACTTCCAATCAGTCCAATAGTGTTTCTCCATGTAATGAGATAATGTCTGAGAAGTGTAGCTGATAAGCTCCAAAGAGTCAGGTATTGTTCTAGGCCTCATTGACAGAATGCTAGTGTTCCTTCTGAGGACAGCAGAAGAACCAGGAAAGCCTAACTTCTATGGAAAACACCCTGGACATAGGGGCAAATGTTAGGAGTGAAGTTAGGATGTATGTTTTGATACCATTTCCCAACCTGATGGGTATCTCCTCCAGCTCTACCCACTGCCCCCAGGCCCATCTTGGGGTCCAGAGACTTGCCCAGAGTTGGGGTGAGGGTCAAAGCTTCAGGAGCCTGGTGAAAGTGAGGATAAGGGGCCTGACTAGGCTCATAGCTCCATCTACCTAAATAACAAAGTGTGTAACCCTCAGTCCATAGGTCCCTCGTGCCTCTCTAGGGCTATGTTGTGTCCTGCAGATGTGAAGAAGGTAGTCAAAGAGTGCTAATGTTTTGGTCCACATCCAATGCACAGAGTTTTACTCCCATGAGTCCTGCAGAACCTGTACAGTTCTGTGAAAGGGCACAAGCCTCTAGTCTGCCTTGTGCTTTGGGGCCAAAATGATTCCTGAGTCCTGACTGGTGCCTTATTACTGCCACTTGTATTGCACAAGATGCAGAGACCCAGCTGGATTTCCAAGTCTCAGCTTTGAGTATGTAGCTGCCATACTAAGGACAGCCCTCTTGTGGCTTGTAGAACTGGATTTGGGGTGTCTGGGAGAAGATTGGTGCACATGGATAATTTGTGTTCCTCCTTGAAGCACCCAGCAATGGGCATCTTTACAGACTGTGCTAAAGGGCCACCTTTGTCACTGTGGGTCAGAGAGTGGGGAGGCCCTCCACTTTTCCCCAAAGCACCTGGACTTCTTATCTGGGAGCTGGGTGTCCCCAGGCCAATGTGTTACCAAGGTAATTCCAGCAGCAGGGTCATGAGCAGATTGGATGCCTGGTCTGACCCGCTGTGGCAGGAGACAGGAAGCAGGATGCCATGACAGTTGAAGAAGGGCATGTTAGAAGGGGCAGAGGCAGAACACTTGGATGGATGGTTTATTTCAGCCAATGACTCACCCCCTTCCCTCCCCATCCCCATCTGCTCACCTGTCTCTTAAATTCCTGATGGGAGAGAGTGTTGTGTTTTCCGTTTCTGCAAAAGGATCTATAACACGAGTCAGATTGACCTCTAATTCCCCCTGGACAGGCTTGCCATAGGTGTACCTGGGTTAAAGTGGGAGAAGACACCCCCAGGGGGGACCAGACATCTCAGCAACAGAAGAGAGTGAAGGGAACAGGCGCCTGTGCTCAGGGAGAAGGTGAAACCAGTCTCAGCACCCTTGGTCTCAGCACACTCTTTAAACAAGGAACAGGGACAGGAATGGTTCCCTTCAGATCTCTGCTGGGTGTTTGGCCTTCAGAGTCACCGCACTGCCCATTCCACCTGCTCTGCGTAGGCATAGGTTCTGTAGGAAAGGGGCAACTGAGGTCTATGCCCATCCTGGTGGCATTGGGAGGAGTCTGCTTCCTGCTGTAGTAGGGTCCCCAAGCCACAGGGAGCAGAGAAGCAATGGAAGAAAAGTGGTCATTACTCTGCTGCCAGAGGGGTGGTGGAAGGAAGCCAATGTCCAGGGTGGGACTGCGGCTTGTGAGACAAGGCAGTTTCACTCACCTGCCACAGGCTTTGACCTGGAACTCCTTAACTGCAGTGTTAATCAGGTCTGGGACCTCATATACCAGCTCAAATTTTGGCAGCTCTATAAACGGAGGTAGGAGGATGGGTTCAGGGAAGAGTCCCAAGAAGTGAACTCACCTTTTTTCCCTGACACAGCTTCTGAGACCCTAGTATGGCACTGGATGGATGGGCTGGGAGACTAATGGTATATCTAAGCCAGCTGTGGGCTGCCTTGGGGCACTTCTCTAAAGTGCCCCACACATACTCCAGATGTGGATATAATGTAGCTTCCTCAGAGCAAGGCTGGCATATACGAATAAGCTCTGGGGCTGGCTCAAATGTCCTGAGGGCTCATGTCCAGCACCATGCTCATGCCCCATACTCAGAGCAAGCATGGAGCACCATGACAAGAGTCACATCCTCACTCTGTGCCTGAGGGTCCCCAGCCCATTCTGCGTCTCCCATCTCTTTCTTTTTTGACATCTACCTGTCAGCTGCTGCTTGCCTCCCCTTCCCCAGAACCATTTCAGGGGATAGCACCCATAGGGCAGAGGTGCTGTGCCTCACCATGTTGCTCCTTACCATGTCCAATGTGGACACATCCTAAACTCAATCCCATTTACCGTAGGGCAAGGGCAGCATTGAGAGAGCAGTGTGTATGGAGAGAGAGGCCAGGGGACCCAGGCCTGCATAAACCTGGGCTCATTTCTACCTCAGTACAACCAAGCAGGGTTCCTTCAGATGCAAGAAGCATTACTGATGTGAAGAGGGACCCTATGACTGAATGAATTCAAGGCTTGATTCCCCAGGAGGGCTGGGGAGAGCCTGGAGCACAGGGGCACAGGGGCAGGACCTGCGGCAGGGGTCTGGGCACAGGGACTTGCGTGTAGCTGAAGCTCAAAGATGACAGAATAATGGGGCTACGTTTTCCTTTCTTCCTCCAAAGCAAGGTGAGGGTGCCCTAGGAGAGTGTAGTATGGGCCAGTGAGAGGGGGCTTGAGATGGAGCACAGTGGGGACCAAGACCTCAGGATGGAGGTGGGGTTGCGGGGAGGCAGGGACAGTAATTCTCAAATGGCAAAATCTAATGAACAACCCTACACACCCTAATGCAGTCTCCCCTGTCCCCCTCCCCTCCATCTAGTACTCACCATATTCCTCCACCGTGAATAGTCCTAGCGTGTCGTGTCATCTGTAATTTCCTCTTCATCCAGTCTGATGGCATATGTCCCCGGAGCTACTTCAGAGGCCAATGGGAAGGACAAATCCATAATCCCTTGCCTTGGCTTCACATCTAGCCACTGGCTGATACGATTTTTATTGGGATCCTATACAGGAATGGACAGTCATGGTCACATGTGTTTATGCATGAACAGGGGCTCAGCCCCATACACATGCTCAAAGCGAGCATGGAGCACCATGCCAAGAGTCACATCCTTGCTCTGTGCCTGAGGGCCCCCAGCCCAACCTGAGTCTCCCATCTCTTGCTTTTTTAGCAGCTACCTGTCACCCCCTGCCTGCCTCCCCCTCCCCCAGAACCATTAATTGCTGGTAACAGTTCAGGGGAAGGGAAGCGGGGCAGGCTATAGCCAGGAGATGAGGTGCACTCCAGCAGTGTCAGTGACAATGTGGAGCAGAGAAGACAGGTCCAAGAGGTCACGCACCAGCAGCTGCACAAGCGGGTACTGTGAAACACAAGAGAGAAATGAGATCACCATTATACAGGTCTCAGCTTCCACTTCAGCAGGTCCTGCCTCTGAGCTCAGGTCTCAACACTCCCCAACTAAACACCCAGGTTTCTACAGCAGCCACACTTCTATCTCAGAGGGACTGCAAGAGCTGGAGAGGTGACAACCGTGGATGTGTTCCTTACAGAGACCTCACTGTATCCTCCCTGACCTTGCTTACTGCAGGGAGGAGCATGATGATTGCCCCACATACTCTGCCTGGGGGTAGTATGCTACTGGCCCCTGCCTCATGGAAAAGTGAAAAGACACTCACCACTTCGTCGATGGCCTTAAACTCCTCATCAAGGCTCACAATGCGAAATTTCACTGCAGGGAACAAGAATATGCAATGAGTCACTCCAGCTGGGACGGGCTCTAGGAGGAGTATACAGCTCCCTTCCCATGCTCCGGCATCCCCTTGTGCCCCTGCTTATGGCCTGAGGATGAGTTGGTGGGTGTTCATGTGTGTACACAGCCCAGCAAAAAGGGGCTCTGCTGTCAAATGAGGAATATTCTTTTCAAATTTGAAAGGGATTTTTCAGAGACCCAAGGAGCAGGGAGTCCTGGCCTTGGTTTCAGGTCTTATTCAAAAGGTAGTCCCCCTTGAGCAGCATGTGGGGATGATAGGGTCACCACTGGTTCAGAAAATAAACCGCTCTCCACCCATATGCTCCCTTCTGCACCTGGTGACTAATAGATCTGACTTTCACCTGTGAGGTGGGGTAGGCTAGCATTTCACAGGAACCATCCCCAGAGGAAGACAGCTACCACATCCCCTCTTCTTGGTCCTGCCTGTCCCATTGCTCATACCTGTCTCCCCAGGTTTGTAGAAGGGCTTGTCTGTTTGTATGAGGAGCATCTCTTTCTGGTCCCTCACCAGCACCTTCTTGCGGCTCTCAAAACTCACTGTGTCCCCACTGTGGATCAGGACGTGTACAAAGGCCACTTCCTCCTCTGCCTTCCAGATGCAAGGAAACATGCCATCTCAGTAGGGTGACTTAGGCATCTAGGCCACTTTTTTTTGTGGGGGATGGGGGTGGTCTTTTCTGTCCCTTTCCCTCCTACAATCTCCAGAGATGATAGATAAAGAAAATCTCACTTGCCCTTTCATCTTCCCCTTCTTCCCCTCATCCATTTCTTCCTCTCCTTTCCAAACCCCTTTTCAGGTCCCACATGTCCCTTACCCTGTGTCCCTATGTCTGCACACCTTTGCTTTCCTTCTCCTTCCTTCTGCTCCTCTTTCTCTATCTTCTCTCCCCCCATTCTCCTTTACATCTCTTTCTCCCTCCTTAGTGAGGCTGGAACAGAGGTCTCTAGGTTGTGGGAGGAAAGGGAGCTGTGAGATGTGAGACTTACATAGCTATAATAGGACTCTGTTTTCCTGGGGATGAAGGCTGGCACCTGGAGAAAGGGCCCAAGAAAAAGAAAAGAGAAAAAAAGGAATGCAAGTATATCAGAAAGGTATCATTTCTGACACTAGCTGGTGCCAGACCTACCTCTACTCTTCAGATTCAAGGTCTGGATGCAAATTTTGTAGCTCAAACCCAACCTGATCCCCAGAGAAACATTTGGAAGAGTGAAAAACAAGCAGCAGGCTTCTTGGTAAGTGGTGGCATTGGAAGGATGAGGATAGTGCTGAAACCAGAGTTGCCTGCATAGTCCCAGCTTCTCTATACCAGGAGAATATGAAACAGTTAGAGGGTTTGCAAATGAAGATCAGTACAGACAGGTAAATGCTAGTCTAATCCAGAAAAATTACTCTGCATGTGGCAGCATTGAATTGCATGTTTGTTGTTTTCCAGACCCTCCAGAACCAAAGGGATCCTCCCTTTTTTTATCCCAGGACCTACATGGTGATGAGGACTTTGTTTAATGGGGTTTTGTCTATAGACCTTACCGTGGCTTACGCTTCAAAGGGTGCTGCTTGTATGTTCAGTTGGAGCTTCTCAGCGAGTCCCACACAGCTGATCAGAGAATCCATGCTCTTTGACAGAAAAACTGCAGCAAGCAAAGAGCCAGAACACTTCCATGGTCTCACACAGCTGTTTGCTGTGACTACATGTACCCCCAGCTCTGCAGGGAGGGCAGACCATGCAAAGGATCTGGTTTCTATTGTACCCCACATATCTGCTCCTACTCCTGTGTGAGTCAAGGTTTTCTTATGGTGATATCTTTCATTGGACCAACTGCATCATTGAGATAGAGTTAAACAAGCTTTTGAATACAAGGCATTCATCAAGTCACATCATGTTCTATCCTTGGATAGATTTCTGATTGATTCTTCTGCCACCTAGTAACCAAGTGCTGCAATGGCACCTACTACAGCAGTGACCCCAGAATAGCTGGCTGTCCATCTGCTCTGGGCACCAGTGTCAGTTCCATCAATGCACAAAATCAATTAAGGTTACCCCAGTGTAAGTGTGTTCCCTGGCCATAGTCACATATAAACACTTGTGCTTACGCAGTGTTGGAAAGTGTGATTGTAGCTCATGCAGACCTAGTCCAGCCAGTTTTCATCTGGACAGCTCAGTAAAACACAGCAGGGAAGCTGCAGCAACACTGCCATCCCCAGGTTAAAACCAAGGGCCCTATACACATGATATACCTCTGCTCTGATATGTGTGCTAATTAGCACTCGTCAGAGCAGACTTGATTAATCAAGAGCTGCTCTAATTAAAGTGCTCTCCAGAGCACATGTATAGATGCCCCTATGTCCCAGGTAGCTGGGTGCAACTGAAGCCTCTGCCACTGCTATTTTGCTGTAGTCAGTACCTCATCTAGTACCTGGGCTTCTCTGTGGACTGTTCTCCTGTCTCCCTGCTGCAGTAGGGCCAGCCTTCAAGTATGGACAGACCCAATCCTTGAACCATTCCAAGAATGTCATTGATTGGGAAGTGGTTGACAATTGTCCCTGGACAGAAGCATCCCCCAGTATACTACTAAGGGCTCTAAGTAGACCTGGGTTTATCTACATGTGCATTTTACTGCAGAGTTGACTAATTGGCTCCTCAGTAAGAATCACCATCTACATTCTACATTAGGGCACAGTAAATTAATTAACTTAATCGTAGGATAGTACTGTTGGGGAGTAATTTACACCACTACAACACACATGTAGATGGTGACTGGGGCTGGCTGATGCACAAGGCTGTTACAGTGCAAGGGCTGCCTGGCAGCTAGCCCCACACTGTAGCACCCTCGTGCCTCAGCCAAGCCCTCTACTGCCTGAAGCTTCCACCTGGAGCCCAGGACTGCCCCCCCCGACCCCCTGTCAGCCCAGGGCTGCTCTACCCTTACTCAACATGCTGTGGTCCTGGGCATATGTGTAAATGTTGCTCCCAGGAGAAATAGCTCCAGCATTAACTTCACTGGAATTTATTTCTTCACCCTAATTTCATGTGTAGATGCACCTACTCTCACCTTTTAGGGATTGTACAATTGTAAGAATGCCACCAGGGGCTGTTAAGTACCAAGACCATCATGACTTCCAGGGTAAGGTAACCACCAAAAAGCAAAGGCGGAACATATGCACTCCCCCTCCTCCCCTCCACCCCCCACATGGGTGGTACAACTGAAGCAGAGCTGAGTAGAGCCTGTGGGGGGCTTCAGGGCTGGGGCTCCTCACCCTGTTACCCTCCCCCCAGGACCTCTGTGGCCCATCAGGCAGGACATGGTGGAGAAGCTCAGTTTTACCCCATCTGCACAGACACGGCACAGAGTGGTGGCTGGTGTGGGGCTCCCAACAGCAGTGGCAGCACCAAGCCTCCCCACCCCACTGTGCCTTTCCATGCCAGGTCCTGCCAGCTGGGCCATGGAGGCCCTTGCAGGAGGGCAGCAGGGCAAGGAGCTCTGAGTGCCACAGCAGGCAGCCTGTATCTGTCCCCACCACGTGCACATATATGGGGGGGGCATGTGCCCCCCATGCCACCCTCTCCAGGAGTGCATGCAGCAATGTGGAGCCTACCCCCATGCTGTTCCCTGGCTAGGATGATCCTGGCTCCATCCAAAGGGCCCTGCAGCTGTGCATTCCCACCCAGGCTCTGGGCCCCATGCACTGCCCTGCCTGGGCAGGGCCCCCAGCCCCAGCCTCCAGTCCTGTCCCACTCCATCTCTTACCATGAGGAGGGACCACAATCTACCTTCCCCATGTTTCTTCTCCCCCCCCTCTCCCCCCCTGCCCCCGCACACTTATCTATAGGCAGCTGGGGAGCTGCTCTCCACTGCTGCCTGGGTGTATTGCTGGCCACGTGCATGTGTGTGCATGAACACATGCATGTGATGCCCCCTGCATCTGCTCCCCCCAGCCCCAAGCAACCACTTGCAGGCTGGAACTTTGCCAACCTGCAAGGGGCAACCCATGGTTTCCTGTTCTTTTCTCCTTCAAAGGAGAAAATCCATGCTGATCCACAGCAAAAGGAAAATCCGGATCCCCGCACATGATACTAAGACCATAGTTGAGTGTGTCAAGGGGAATCTGGGACAAATGCTGTCCCAGAGTCATTCAGCCCAGGACCAGGGCTTGATGTTTATATTTTGGGACTGCCCTACTCAATTAGGGATGGGTGGTCACCCTATTCCAGGGGTCTGTGCCCAGAGTTTCCCCAGCATTCACATGGAGAGGGAGGAACACCTGGATTGGGGCAGGGGGTTGGAGTGGATGGGTTGCCAGTGCTAGGGGGTTGCATGACTCCGTGCTTGCAGCTCCCAGGGGGCTGGGTACCAAGAACTCCCTGCCTTTTCCAGCCTCTGCCCTGGGAAGTGGGAACCCAGACTCAGTTGGGTGGGGAGGAGTTGGAAAGGTTGCCAGGTGTTTCTTGCCTCCTGCCCCTGGGCTGCCACTGCTGCTCTCCACCCAACCCACAGCCCATGCCTGTTTTCCTGCATGCCTCACCTGCACAGCCCATGCCTGTGCTTGCTAGTATGTGACCAAACTCTGTGTGGTGGTACCCAGACAGGTGTGTACCCAGACACCAGGTGTGTGTGTGCATGTGTGTATGTGGGTGGAGGTGGGAAGTTGGAGGCTCGTTTCTTCATTCCAAGGGCTGATTGCTTTGGGACTTCCCATGGTCTCTGACTCAGAAAGGCACTCAAGTACCTTGTATTGCCAGCAGCTGCATATAGAGATGTGTGCAGAGTGGAACCAGCAGAGCAGGGCTGGCTGCAAGAGTGCAGCGCAGAGGCAGGGAACAGTTAACAGTTAATGGACTAATGGACACCTGGAGGACTGGAGGACCTGGAGGACTGAGAAGACACTAAGCAGGGACTGCACTGTGTCTACACATAACATTGAACTGGTTCATGAAGGACCAACTCAAAATAGCACTTGATTTTCCTGGTGTGATTTTGAAGTGTTCCAGGAAGTTTAAAATGGTCTAAAGGGGTGTGTACATCTAGGCTCTTGGGGTGCCTATAGACATGATGATTTTCACCATTTAAAGCATTTTAAAGCCATCACGTAATACACATGGGTGACTAGAACATTTAAAAAATGGTGGAAGTCACCTTAATTAAACCTCATTGTATGTGTTTTAAATGTAAGGTGAAGTGTAGTAGCATGTCTCAGCCTACCTAGTTCACCTTTATTGCACATGTATTGAACTGGGACTTCCCAGTGGCCTCTGGCTTCATTGTGCAGCATCTGGCACCCCCTGCCTCCTACTCTACAGAACTACTATAAGGCACAAAACTATTATATTTTAAGGTGCTATACCTAAAGCACGTTAAGCAAAGCACGAATGTTACAGCACCTTTGGAAATGCCTGCCTTGCACGTGTATAGGCACCCTTGGAGTTTAAAGTGTGTTTAGGCTGTTATAAGCATTACTTCTGTCCATGCCCTGAGAACAGCACATTAACACAAACTTTTACCAACAGCAGGCCACTGCTTGCGACCCAGCTACCATCATAGACAGCTGATCACCACCCCCACCTCCCAAATGGCATGCCTCCAACAGAGGCATAACACGACCATCAGCTAGGGGACTAGCACAGCAGCCACTGGGCGTAAACGCCCTCTAATGTCCCCTCCTACTAGGGTTGTCAACTCTGTTAATCTATTATGGAAGGTTTCATTACATGACATAATGAGATTAGTGAATCGTTACATCAGGAAGGCAAATGCACATTACTATTACATTTTTAAAATCCACTGGACTACTGTATAAATCAGATTCAACATTTTAATATTTACTTTCATGAATGTCCTATCATTTATCTCCCAGGTGACTCTCAGCAGTCTCATGGAGATTTATATCTAATTCCCGGAAACTCCAGGGCAATCCTGCAGGGTTGGCAACCCTACCTCCTACTGCTGTTACTGCTCACCACCATTGGTGAGTTTTGCTAATTGCTCTAAGTTCAGCAGAAAGTCAGGAGCTGTAGTAGGAGGAGCTCCTGGTCACATTGACACTTCCCCCAGAGAAGCAGCATCTCTGTACATGGAGGTGAGAGAGGGGAGCATAAAGGTGGAGGAACCTCCAATTCTGGACACTATAGGCTGGATCAGACCAGCACAGGCTGTATCCAATCTCTTCACAGGTTAGGTTGCTTACCCCTGCTCTAAAACTCACGAGGACAGATTAGCAGGATTTCATTTATATCTATCAGCCATACACAATGCCCTGAAGTAATCTGAATTGTGTAAATGCCCAGGAAGAAAAGGGCTGGGGTCTTCTACCTGGAATTAAGAATGATTTAAAGTCCTGAAATGCAACCATGGAGTAAGTCTTGGCTCAGGCAATGGATATGTTTTCCAACCTGTTTGACTGCAGGGGGTTCTGCCAGGAGATGTTGGGTAGGGGATTGCACCTGTGTAGACAGAGCACACTGCAGGGACTGTCACATGCAGTAGCGCAGAGTACAACCAATACACCCACGGCAGGAAGGGTTGTTAGGTTCGTGTTGGACTTGAAGGTGAGAGTGCTGTCTACTGCAGCAGCCACAGCTCCTGGGTTCACCTGAAAGCTGATGCACTCAAAGATGCCTGGCTTCTCCACATCTTTCTCCACCAGGGTGTGATTCCGGATTGTCATCTCCAGGGTGATTGCCAGGTGGACAGTCTCAGGGAGAGAGCTGAGGTGGATGCAGAACTTCTCTTGGCTGGGATGGTGAATGATGGCTGGAATCACTACCACATAGTGCCTAGGAGAAAAGAGAAGATGGGGACGGGGTGTTCAGGGTCTGTGGTACAGGGGCAGGTCAGGGGGTGTCTCTCTCCACTGCTCTCTTGAATAAAGAGAGCATGGGCTACCAAAGAGCTCTAGACCATGAGTGGAGGGGCCTGTGATGCAATTTGCATCTCACTGCAGGAGGAGACAACATTCCCTGTGAGGGGTCAGGGCACTGCACACCACCAAGGAGCAGACTTGTCCCATCCCTAGGAGATGGGCAGGGCCAGCCTAGGTCAGCACTGGAGTGAGAATGCTATACCTGGGGGGAAAATCCCTGAGGCTGCAGATTGAATTTCACCCCCATCCACAGGAGATAACCCCAGCTGAAGCCTGTGTATCTCTGCTTTGTCTCCCAGCACCAGAAAATATCAAGGGGTCTTTTCTGCAAGGATACTAGACACCCACAGCCCCAGCTAGAGTCAGTGGGAACTTCAGGTGCTGAGTATCTTGGACAGTGAGGACCCCAGAGCTCAGTTGCTGTGATTCTGGGCACTACAGCCCTTTCTCCCCTCAGTGACCCACCCATTCACTTAGTCCTCTCAAAAAGAAGCAAAGAGTCTTACGGGTTGAGAGTCTCTGAAGCTGCGATTGAGAGCAGAGCCAGGGCCCGGAGGAGCATCACTATCCCCATTGCTTGGACTGGAACAGATACCTAGCTAGATCCATGCCTGAATCCAGAACATCCAGCTGAATAATAAATAGTCCTTCAGAGACTCCAGAGTCCAAAGGGTGTATTAATACAGGACATCAGGACCTCATCTCCCCTAGGCTAATGACACAGCCAATATTTACCTGTCTCACCAGTTGCTGGATAAAGGCCACATAGTTACCACTGCCCCACCCCTAACCCTGCCCCAGTTGCTGGATAAAGGCAGGTCCCCTGCCCCCCATTTGGGATTGGGTCTGTGACCACTGCACCCCAGCATGTGTGAAATGGCTTTATGGCTGAGCTGTGGGGCTCAGGAGCTGTAACAGATGAAGCAGGAACTGCAAGAGGAATCAGTTTGTAGCACCTTTGCTAGGGCCCATTAATGCATTATCCCATCTGTGCACCGGCCTGTTGTCAGCCCCATCACAGTGTGTTGGCATCTCATGCAGCCATTATCCCATTCACCTGCCTGACAACCTGCCCCTTGCACAATAGAGAAGAGCTGCCTTCAGAAACATCCACTCACGACCTACTCTGCTCATCACCTGTCATCCTTCTTTGCTGCTTTCTGTGGTGCTTCATTCCATGTCCAATGCATGTGTCCAGGACTGTCCCAGTACTGCTCTACCCTACCCTTCCCTCTCAGCTCCACTGCAGGCCTTACTCTAAGGACACAAGGGCCAAGAGGAGTGGTTCCATGCCATTTGCTTCTTCCTCATAAAATCAGTTTCCTAGATTCACTAATAGCAGACTGTGTGTGGTATGTGTATGATATGGTGTACCGCAACCCCTCTCCCAACCCACAATCTTATATAATAGCTCCCCCCCACCCTCCCCACTAGCCTTTACACCAGATAAATATGCTGGGGAAATGCACCACAGGTCAGTGACTGTGCCACTAATGTTTGTCTCCTGGTATTGTTTTATACAAACTCAGGCAATACTGAAGTTCAGACTTGAACTAGTGAGAGAGGCAGCTACCAGCCCTTTGCTCCTACCATAGAAATCTTCCCCTTGGCTTCCGGTCTGTCTGAGGCCACTCTGCTATTCACCCCTGAAACCAAGTGGAAGCAGAAAAGAAAACAGTGACGTGGTAAAATGTCCTCTTTCCTTCCAGCTGGGATGATGGAGCACTAGCAGAGCTGTGAGGAGTCCAGGACTGGGATAGCAGGGAGAGCTGCTGGGCAGGGCTGTCTCATTAATGCAAGAAGCCTCCCCTTTCATATTTTCCATTTTCATTTCCTCTCATCTGGCCCTTAGCTTTTTTTCACTGAGAATGAAAAACAGCAGGGAACAAACTGAACCCTGGACTAAATCCACAGAAGGCAGCAAAGTCCCCAGGGATAAATTTTCCTTGCTGCATTTCTAACAAAGTCATGATAAAAGTCCTCTCAGTATGAAGTCCTTTTCCAAACATGAAGCTCTCTCAATAACAACACACGGGTGCTGTTGGTGTTGGCTGCTGCCTTGGAGGGGGATCCAAGGAGGCAATGAGAGAGCAGATATCTTCGCACAGAAGCATTCACAAGCCCTTTGAAACAAGTGACTCTGACATTGGGGAGGGGAAATACTGTCCAGCTTCATCCACCCGCCCATATCCCTGTGGCAGCCATACACAGCCAGATTGTTACCTTTTGGCTTAAAGTCAAAGATCCAGACGCAGGCGCCTGACAGACGGAAGAAGAGGAGCAGGGGCAGGAGAGAAGGAGGGGTAACCAGCAGGAACTCCTCCCTGGGGACCAGGTCGGCCTGCACGTAGATATGCTGAGTGTGGCTATCCAGTGGAGCTGTGTCCTCCTCCTCCTGCCTTGCACAGCTGGAGCATCCACGACACTGTAAGAACCCAGGTTGCTCCCTGTCTGCAGGTTGGTGGGTGGGCAGTGTTTCAGGGCTGGAGCAAGGGATACTCTACAGTGGTGACTGCCTGCTATGAAGCTCCTGGGACTATGGGGGAGGAGGGGGAGAAGACAGGGGAGGTGGGAAAGGGGGCTCTATGGGAGAGCAACCTCCCCTGATGCTTTTCAGTCCCCATTGCCCTTGCAGCTCTGTCTGCTGCCCCAGTGCTGGGAAGCCTTTGGCCGCCAGCATGGGATCCGAGTCAGAGCTCATCCTGCCAAGAATCTGTGTGCATGTATTTGAGCTGCCAACAACTCACAAGGTCTGGTGCATTCCAGGGCACAGTTATTTCTGAGCAGTTCACCCCCTCCACCAGAGGCACAGACTGAAAACTATAAATCCTGAGCTTCTGAAACCCAAGGATCCCCTGACAGAGCATGGGGGACAGACATAGACTGTGCTACTCAGCAAGTTACCTGTGGTGTTTGCTGGTCACTCAGAGGCCAAGGAGTTTATAAAAGGGACTTTTTATGTGAGGAGGCAGGTCACAGGGATGGTGTGTGGTTTGGAAGGGGAGATGACTGATACAACAGTGATGGAGAGGGGAGGCCTGACTCTGATCCAGGTGTGAGGTTTCTGAGATCATCTTGTTTCCAGTAGATCCAGACTTTCCCACAGTCCAGCTGCTGGGTCCCATGTGGCAGGATGCTGGGCTACCCAGGAATTTAGCCCTGCAGGAAACACATCTTGTCACAGCTGGGGCTTGCCTGTCTTGCAGGAACTATGCAGTGGCCATCCCAGCTCAACTCTTCTACCCCTCCTCAGAGACCGTCTGCCTCCAGGTCAACAGAGCCTCAGGGGTCCCTTTCCAGGTGGTGGTCACCCTGCAAACCAAAGCCAGGAATCAGACGCTCATCGTACGGTCTATTTCCCAGCCCAGCTTCTTTGACTGTGCAAGCTTCCAGGTGAGGAGCAGAGACCACATGCTGCTGCTTCGGCAACAGGCTTCTGAGTGGGGCAGACCCCAGCTAGGGTGCCCTGTTGCTGGAGAGAATGAACACAGGTTGTGCATGTAGATAGCTCAGGTTTCCCATGTGCTTGTGCTACTCAGGCACTGAACCTTCCCATGCTTCCCCACAGCTCTGCCAATACCATCCCAGTTCTGTCCTCCACCCCGTTCCTATCCCAACCCAGGCTCCCTGCACAAACCTGCCAGCTTCCCTTTAGTTCCACCCTACTGCACTTCCGCCCTCTCTTTAGCTTTCCTTAGTAAGGATGCTGTAAAAGCATTCAGCATCCTCCAGAATGAGAGGCCTCAGAGGGTGCATTCTCATGAACAGGAACATGCGTTCCCCAGGAACAAATAGCAGCAGCACATACCTGTGTCACTGCTAGTTGTCCCCTGCATGTGCACTCTGGTGCATGGCAAGTTGCCCCAGGTGGGGTAGGGGAGGCTAGGGTCAGCACCTGGGCTGGCCCCAGCAGCCTTACCTGGGGGCCTGCCAGGGTTCCAGCAGTGGCAATCTGGCAAATGCCTGTATGGGTGGCACATGCAGTTTGTGGTGCCACAGATGGGTCTGCAGCACTGCAAACTACATGTGCATGCTCATCTGGATGTGCCCAGAGGGAGCAATGTAAAGCAGTCATCCACCACCACTGAAGCTTCCAGGGCTGTGCCCATCATGATGGTTGGTTTGTGACTCTGTCTACAGGTCCCTGCCCCTGCCAAGGGCTCAGATGAAGTGGCCACTGTGGAAGTCACAGGTTTGGGGGCTGGCTCAGTATTTCAGGAAAGACAGAAAGTCCTGGTGAAGCTTGTGGCAAAGAGGACCTTCATCCAGACAGACAAACCTATGTACAAACCTGGACAGACAGGTGAGCATGAGGCAGCAGGGAAAAATGTGCTGTGTTCATGCATATGCGTCACTTGTGCTAGCACTCTCCACCTGTATTGTGATTAAATCCAGGGTCTGGCTCACCCATGAATGCCAGTGTATGGTACAGCCTGCCCTACCCAAAACATGCAACTAAGGTCTGGTTTGCAGGCCAGGAGCATGTTTTGAAAACACACACCCCTCACAAAGATGTCTCCCTTTGTTGCTCCAAGGCTGTGCCTGCTCTAAGGATATCCCAGACAGCTCCCTCCATGGCTCTGACCCTTGTGCAGCTCCACCAGGACTAGCAATGTTGGGAGTGCTAGCACAGATGGGGCTGGAGGGTCTTTACTGATGTGTCAGGGCTGGTCTGGGTGCCCCATAATGATAACATGATGGATGGGCTATCTATGTCAAGCTCCCCCTCTTGCAGGGGTGCTTCAGGGCTAGGGCTATACTGTGGAATTTCCCCTCAGGCCTCTGTGGAGCTCAGCCCTAAAAGGTTCTTGCTCAGAAAAGCATGGCTGGTCATTCCCCAGCGCAGCCCTAGCACATCCCAAATTTCCATGTGCATTTGCTGCTAGGAGATCACAGGCATTCACTCTGCATGAGTACTGCACTAGCTTTGAGCAGGACCATCAGTGGCCATGTGTACATGAGATGTTGACTAAGCAATAGCTTGTTACTACTGTGCAGTAGCATCACATAGCATGAAGAGTGACATAAGCTACTGTGCAGTGTCAGTAAGAAGCCATTTGGGGACGCTACTGCACAGTAACTCCAGTTACTGCGCAGTCATTTAGTAATTGTATATGCAAGTATTAAATGACTGCACAGTAACAACTGTGCAGGCAGCATCTCATAAAGACAAAGTCAGTGAGAACTGGCCATTTGAGTGCAGTTAGTCCTCCCACAGCAAACCCTTAATGCTCCATCCTTTCAGTAAAACTGGCTCTGACACCTCTCAAGCAAGTTGGAGGCAAATAGCTTCCACCCAGCGCAGCCCCGGCTTTTCCCAGTGTGTGGGTGGAGGTGGGAGGTTGAACAGGGGCTGCACTGGGCAGGCAGCGGCAGTGCTCAGAGTGGTGCTACGGGAGGCCTACAGTGAAATTTGGGGTGGCTGCAGCACCCTTGGTAGCCCCGCTCCCAGAGCCACCTCTGCCCACCCTGAGCGCAGCCCCCGCCAAAAAGAGCCTGGCGCAGCCCTGACTCCAGACCACATCTGCAGCTTGCCCTCCCTACAGCGCACAGATCTGGGGACACCACCCCCTTCCCTGCCCTCCTGGGGTGTGCACAGCGGCAGGAACTGCCCCCTTCCTCCCCTCACAAGCCGCAGCTCTGTCCTATGCCCCATCCTACCCCAATTGGGCAGTGCCTGCCCGTGCCCCTGCCCCTGCTCCCTCACTGTGGGGTGAGTTGATCTGCTCCCCCCATGCCTCTTCCCTGCCCCTTCCCCTTCCCCTTCCCCTTCCACCACAGCAGACTTATCAGCTTCATACTACTCTCCATGCTGGCAGGTTCTGCTCCTTGCTGCCTGCGTGCTGCACTGCGGCTGCATGCACGCACAGGCATTTATGGGCCAAATTATCAGCCACTTCAGGCCAATTTCTGATACAGCCAATTTTCTTTATATCGGTACCGATCCAATATCAGACCGATGTATCAGTGCACCTCTATCTCGATGTGGAGAACTTTTCTTTTTTAGACATTAATAACTTGCTATTCATTTCTTTGATTACATTTCACTGAATGCGTCCTCTTTCCTTTTGATCTGCAGTAAAGTCACGTATTGTAACCTTGGACCAGAACTTTATTGCCAGCAATGAACCGGTAAGACCAGAAAGAAAGGGGGGAGAACCTCTAGGGGGAGACAGATACAGGACCCCAAGTGTTAGCGCACTGTGCCACTGAGAGACAAGACTGTGAGCCATAGCTCCAGGGCCTTGTTCAGGTCCAGACTCTGTAACTCATCAGACAATGGCCGTGGGTCAGAGCTCAACACTGAAGCTGAACCACTGGGTACCAGGGAGATTTCAAGGAGAGTTCACAGACTGTTCAAGTGATCTGGGAATTTGGGGGTGGGAACTTATTCCAGAAGCATTTGACCAAGGGCTCTACTATTTCCTTTTTGCAGCATGGCCTGGTGGAGTTGAAGGTAAGATGCCTGACTCTAAAAGGATCTGATGCTCCCCTTTCCTTTAGGGTTTCAGTGGGGAGGGAAGGAAGGAAATAGGGAGTGGGGGGAACCCATAATCCTGATATGCATGAAGAAAGCCGCTGCTTTCCTGCTGTCCCTCCCCTTGTTACTCACA